TTGCGATTTTGTAAAACTTTTCTATTCAATTTCTTTTTGACATATTCATTAAAAAATTTTCATTTCTTTGTTTTTCTTTCATATTGAATGGAAAAAAAAAATATTTACAAAGTATTTTTGATTGTAATTTTTTGATTTTGTTTTTATTTTTCTTATTTCTTTTTTTTCATATTTTTTTATAATAATTTTCTTTTTTGACGTAAATAATGTAGCCGTAATTTTACAATGGAAAATTCTCAATTTTCCACATTGTAAATTTGTATGTTCAAGTATTCTATAGATAATGTATGTATGTATGTAATTGGGTGTATATGCGCTCATGCCGCTTTTAGTATAAATGTGGCTTCATATAAATGTGTGTGTGTGCAACTCAAAATAATTCTTATACATATTTATATGTACATACATACAACACGCTTTTATAATAATTCTCCATTTTGAATTTTTGATTATAATTATTACTTTTTTATATTTTTTATTAAAAAAAAAATATTACTGCACTCGAAGGGTAAAAAGCGAACTCTTTGAATATAATATGTGAATATTTATATATGTATACACGAGTAGATATCTATGTAATTTTAAATGATTTAATGACCCTTCCGCAAACTACCATCACCACATTAAATCTTAATTTCAAAATACTGAGATATTATACGAAAAAGAAGAGGAGCATGATTATACTCGTATGCAATATAAAAAACTCAAATATACCTACATACCTAAATACCATCCACTTTATTCCCGTTGGTCTATCTCGGCACATATACTCTATATACATATAACATTGCGTGTTTATAATTATAAAAATATCCATTCCACCAACCCCTTACTATTTTATAGAGAAAAAAAAAAATCCTAAAAATGTCTTGCTCGTTTTGTACTGAGGTTATTTTAATACTCGTACAACAACATTTATTATATTTTTTCACAAAAAAAAACACGAAAATATAAAAAACAACAACAAATTATATGAAAAAAATTCCAGCCTTAACTGCCTTGAGATTTTTTTTTTTATTTCTTTTTGTTTTGGTTTTTCTAGAGAATAGACATAACTTAAATCAATTTTGATAGGCTAATATTGTCAATCGTGCTTTATACCACTCCAAAAAAATTTTTTTTTTTAATAGCAGCACAGAAGGGACTTTGCTTCCACTTTAGTTCGCATTATGGAATATTTTATATTTACATACCCCTATAACTTTTGTGTAAGTTTTCTACAATAAAGCATATGTACATGTTTACATTCATATTGCTATGTATATATATAGTGTATTTAAATAATCAAGTAGAATTTATATGCATATATTAATGTATGTAAGCATGTAACATAATTTATTTTTATTACCTTATAAAAATCAGTGTGGCTAAAATTGAATCCTCATAAATATTTTTATTTCTGAATATTTTATAATATATTTTTTATATATTAGATAAAGTCCTTAGGATAGTTTATTTTTTATCGAAAAAGAAAATTTTTTATTCATTGTTGTCTTATAATTATAATAAAGCATTTTGTTTTATAATTTTAAATTTTTTTAACAACACGTTTCTTCAGCAGTTCTTTAATCAGTACTGATTCGTTAAAATATAACTGAGCACTTTCACTTGACTCGTGGCTCTCTATAATCTTTTTTCTTTTCTAAAGCTATTTTCTGGAACTCAACACAGAGTAATTCGTACAGATTCTACTAATTAACACAGCATGATTCGTTTAGACAGACAGAGCTTATTAAACCTTCTGAAAATCTTTGCACCATCTTTTTGTAATTTTTAATTCCTTTTAAAAATTTTCCTCTGGCGACAATAACGATATCGTTTCTTTAATTTAATAATTAATATAAAAATAAAATAAACATTGCCCACCATAACCCCTGTGGGCAGGTATATGGTTGTGTGAATTCTTGTGGTATTTCGGTTCCCATCGTCGTCATAGCCAGTGTCAAAGTTGATGAATTTTCCTAAAATTTCTAGTAATCCAACATTCAACATAAAAAACTTTCCAGGAATAGCAATTTCTTAACAAATTGCCGACCGCACGAATTTCAACTGAATATAAGCTATCCACCGTGCATTTTTGACATGCCACAACTAATGAAGTTCTCAAATATAAATAACAATTACGCATTTGTAAACAAAAAACGGGGAGATTTACCCGATCGGTCGTACACTGACATTTTTTATAACGGGGCAAATCTCCCTGATCGGTCGTGTACTGACATTTTTCAAAACGGGGAGATTTCTCCGCTCGGTCGGCAATGTGTTAAAATAAATTTCAACTAAGAACCATAAATTTCATTTTTCGATGTACATATACAAAAAATCATTTGCAGCATAAAAAAATTTGTAAATTTTATAATTTTGTGCAGCCCATTTACTAAGCATTGTAACAATATAGCTTAATTGGAGTTAGAAAATCTAAAGTAGTAAACCCAATCAATAAATCTAAGATTTGCTCCCAAGAGTGCGTTACAAACAGGCTTAAGAGTACCTATCTGAACACAATTCGTTCTAATTCGGCTTACTTCCACTAATTTGTAAAGATTTTTTTTAACAATCATATTTTATCATACCAATGACGTTGTTACTTTTTTTGTATTAATACCACAATGCAACTAAAGATACTATTCCTGTCATTTCCACATCACATATCGCACAAGAAAACTAAGAAATAAAACCACTTATATTCTCTTATACATTTACTAATACCTTTTTAAATGACTCAACGACGACTACATGTGATTTTCTCATTTACAATCTTTATGACGGAATATACATACATTAATATTATACATATCTATACCTGCATACTCGTATTATATATAAAAAATATATTATACTTATACTATAAAAAAAAAAGAAAATTTTAATATTTATAGATATAGAGGGTGGTTTCGTTTTGTGTCCATCCCTTAAAAAGGAAAACTTGAATGGCGATTCGTGCCAGCTAACAAAATGGTACAAAACCAAATGAGTTCATAAATTTTATTTTATTTTATATATATGTATAATATTATATTTATATATATATATATATAAATATAATATATAAATATATATCCAAATTTATTGCAAAGCATATATACAAATACACAAGTTTATAAACATATTCACACATAGTACTCTTCAACTGCTTCTTTCTTACTTACATATATTTCGACTTTCATAATATGCATGTCAAAAAATGAAAAAAGAAACCCAAAAATAAAAGGTAAAAATATTTGCACAAAAAAAGAATCAAAGAGGCATTCTTCACCTAAAATGAATATATTCCTATAACTAATCTATAACTATAAGGATATTTATAATAAAAGGATACAAAAGAAAAAAAAATTTTTTTGTGAACACTGTTGAATTATACAATCACAAGTCATAAAGTAATTTTGAATTTCCCATTCGAATTTAATATGATTTATGAACATTCATATTTCGAAAGAAAGCAGAGTTTGTCATGAAAATTTTCTTTATATGCTTTTTAATATTATTATGGTCTTGCATGGCCAAATTTGTCTCAAAAAGTATAGAAAAGTTTATTTAAGACAAGTTTTTTTTTTTCGTTAATTTTCTTTATTACAAAACTTATCAGCAAAATAAATAAAATTAAATTTAAAATCATGTATACATACATACATATACATAAAAATAAGTCGGTCTAATCAAAAGAAATGATTTATGAGCACATTTTCTTTTCAAAAGGAGGAAAAAATTAAAATACATACAAGTATTTCTTGAGTATTAATATAGCAATAACACGTACGTCATGTAATTAAAAATTTATATACGTATGCAGATAGATACATACACACATGTTGTATTTGTATATACATACTCTGATTCCATTTGAAATCTTATAAAATATCCTAAGCTCTCCCAAATCTCCTAAAACTAGTATTGTATTCCTAAGCCTTTTTAAAAGAGTGGTGTATTAGTGACATGGCAGTCGTCTTATGCTTGCAATCGCAAATAATATCACCGATTTTTTACATTGGAAAATCTCACATTTGTCGACTTCACATAATTGAAGAGTGAGTGAGTTTAGAAGAATATTCACAATTTGGGAATAGTACAATTAGTACTAAGTCTCACCACATGAGTTTCTTGTCATCTTATCCAAATTATATACAATATTCTCTAACTGCGTAAGATAAACAATATTTTCTGTCGAAAACCTCAAACCCCTCAATATTAATTGTTCGCCTATTTATATGCAATACACTTAAGGTTATTAAGATTTGTATGTATGCATATGTATATTAGCTTTTATTTTTTTATTTACAATTTTTTATCACACTACAATTAAGTGTGAAATTAAAGTTAACGAGCAACTACTAAGAATAAGTTTTGCGTTATCATTTAAATATAATATCTATTGTATTTAATTCAAATGAGGTACAAATTGTCATACACTCATAAATTTTTTAAAACTGCACACTTACTTCAATAATTAGTACAACCCAACGCTTAGGTACAAAGTCTTTAGAAAGTATTTAAATATTTTCGATTTATATTCCTAGTGTTGTTTCTTTCACGTTTCACTATATTCTTTTACGGTACTCCTTTATCATCGAATTATGATTTTAAGCAGAGCAAACTTCTGATTTATCAATGAACACAAATATGTTATAAAAATATGTCAATAAAATTTTATCCCAAGTAACCATTCGCACCCATTCCACTCAACGGTATGTGAACCAATTAAACAAACTTAAAAAATCTGAATAAATGTTGCAATTGTTAGCTTGTATGTATGTTTATAACTATAAAGTTAAGAACAAGTATGGCTTTAAAATGTTAAAGAGAACATCTTTTGAAAGGCGAAAGATGTTCAGTTGGAATACAATGAAATAATTTGTGTCTTAAACTATGTATTTGCTATCAAAAAGCTTTAATTCGTTTAAAACTATAATTGAATCTCAGAAAATTGCCAATTTAATGTTATTAAAGTTTTTTCATAATTATTACATTTACAAATTTAATTTTTTTGCTTTTATTTTTTGTAGGGATCGGTTTCCATATTACAAATCAAATGATGATAGATGGAAAAACTCTGTTAGACATAACTTATCAATAAATCCACATTTTCGAAAAGGATTGAAAGCTCCTCAAGGTGCTGGACATCTTTGGACAATTGCAAGTCGAGATTCAGAAGAAAACGCACTCGCCTGGGAACATGTAAGTATAGTTTATTAAATCAATCTGGTGAAATCATTTTTTAATTCAAAAACAAATTAAAAAAAAAATCACTTTCTATCACAGAAAAAGCAACGTTTAGAATTATTTTTTAAAATGGAACAGTTACATAATCAAAGACAACAAAATTCATCTAGTCAAGAAGAATCAAATGAAAATAACAATCAAAATTATTCTACAATTGATGAAACTGCTGCAGCAGTTCAACATATAACACAACAAATGCAAAATGATTGTAATTCGCCAAATGATATTAATATGAATCAAGCAGCTTTAAATAATCGAATATCATCAACGAATAGTTTAACATTTGAGAATATTATTCATGGTGGTGATTTAAAGAAGTCTGCTGGTGAAATATTGAATGGGATTCGACGAACTGTAGAAGTACAACCAATTAACTGTAGGACAATTAGCACATATCATGACAGCATGTTAGATACTGGTAATTTCTATTTTATGTGAAATTAAATTTAAAGAAGATAATTGCAAATTTGAAAATATAAAAAATCTACTGCACTAAAATTATCTGATACTTCCAAGCATTGTACCGTAAAAATTTAAAATTCACAACAGAAAGAATAAAAAAAAGTTTTAAATTTAATTTTTGAGTTTACAAGAACAGCTTCTGAATTTGTTCAGTTGTTAAGGATGACATTTCTAAATCTTTAGCTTTACAATTTATGTCAGTAAAAGAAGAAAGCTTTATCGAATTTTTTTTTCAATATTTTCAAAATATATAATTTTCCTTTGCAATTAATGGAGAGAAAATAACTAAAGTCTACTTCCACATTTTTTAATGTTTATGAGTTGATTTTTAAAAAGTCCGTCAAACCTTCGAAATTTTATAAAAAAAAATTGAATAGTTTCAATTTTATAGAAATGCTGAAGAAGGTTAAACTGTTATAATAATTAAACAGAATGTGAAATTTTGTTAGTTCATCAAAATGATGTAAGAAGATAAGGCTATAGAACTTTCGAATTTTAAACCAAATTTCAAGTTCGAGTTTTTGTTCTTTTACAATCAAAATAAAATGCTCACAGCATAGTAATAAAAAATTTCTTAGATTTATTGACTTTACTACAACTCAAATGACGATTCAAGTTGGTTCATAAATTTCAATGAAGAATTTCGGCAAAACCTATTTATTCTATTCGTACTGTTGATCAGACAACATCGTGAAAATATTTTGAGGTATATTACTTTAAACTAATAAAGGTTAATAGGCCTATTTACATGAGAAACAGGGTCTGTTAATGTTTTTGGAACATTTTACCAATAAATAGATAATTCTTATGTTTTAATTTCATAAATTCAATTTAGTTAAACGTAAACTGCTTTCCATTATTTTTTGCTGATACCCTGCTTAAGATTTACATTTTTGCAACATTTAGTCAATAAACTTCGTCTGCCTTCTATAAGTAGTAGTCATTTACGTTTAAGTATATTTAATTTTCATAAATGCGCGACTATAGCCTAATTACTTACATGTCGTACAAAGATCATAAGCGCTTTTTCCAACAAATCCTTAGAAATCCCAGGCATGAATATTATGTTCCAAAGCAAAACTAAATTTTGTTTAAATTAGGAGGAAGTAAAAAGCCAATTATTAATTTTTATTTCTACTTAATTTAAAAATTTCAGTTGAAAACTACGAGTTTTATGCTGCTTTTTATTGGAAAATCATAATTTCTTAATGTATGAACTTAATTCTTGTAATCCTAATTTACAAATCCAATATTTTTTCATATTAAGAATTCATAAATATTATCGTGCACTTAATTCTCCGCATATTTGATATTCATAATAATTTTAAAATGAAATTTGAATAAATACAAAATAATTTTTTATTTTATTTTTTTTTCCAGAAGATTACCTGAACCCTATCAATAAGGATGATGATATTATAACACATGAGGGTGGATTTAGAAATGAATTTTATGTTACTGAAATTGATCCAATAGAATTAGGTATCAATATAACAAATGTTGAAGAAGAAGTTCTTTTTAGCGAAGATTTTAATTTGAATTATTTTGGAATAACATCAGCAAATGATATTGTAGCTTGACAAAGATTAAATTGTACAAATAATAAAGTAATACCAAAATCAGAAAAAAATTTTAAAATAATAAACAATTAGTAATAATATTATAATATAAATTTAATTAATTAAATTTAATTTTTTCGTTAATTTTTTTTGTTTTACCAAGAAATTTGTAATTTTTATGAAGAAAAATAATTAATTTTCTGTTCTTTTTGATTGAAAAATTTCTAGTCAACTAAGATTAATTGAATTATAATTAATATTTATTAGTTTATATTAGTAATAAGTAATTCTTTAATATTTTAAATATATACATACATATGAAAGAAAATATATTGTATAAAAGTTAATTATAACTTTTGTAATATTTTCAGATTGTTTGAAAGTGTGCCTTGAATTAAATAAAACTTAATTTAGTACGGTATTTTTGCAATCAAAAGAATAATAAATTTAAAAATTTTATCAATATTAATTCTTGAACTTATACTTATAAATATAAAAAGAAGAAAAAAATAAAAATTAATTAAAAACTATTTACATTATCGTAAATTATTGTGAAAGATGTAACTGAGACCTAACAATTTAAATCAAATTTAAATTTCAGAACTAATGTAATAATCTTTAGAATAAGAAGTCCATTAAGTTTTAAATATGTGGGCGTCTCAAATTTTCCCTTTTCAAAGTACACTTTGAAAAATCTGCTCGAAAATGGGTACCAATTATTGCTGCTGTGAAATCGGATCAATTATAGTAATTTTAAATTGAGTACAAAATTGAATTTTCAAATTAGATTTAGCAAAACTGATTTTCAAAATTACAATCCCATCAAAATCTTTGACTTAAAAAATTTGATTAATTCCAAATTTCAATAAAAAGTAAAATGAAATTCGCCTTGTTGCTGCAATTTTCAAATAATTTACTCATAATTCATAAACTTTTCATCTTAAAAATAAATTTTTTTCTAAAATATTGAAAGCTATTCAACTTCCATTTTATATCTCAAAAAGATCTACACTTTTGTAAACTTCAATATAGGTAGTGATGCAATATGTAAATACAGTTATGTGCAAACTCTTGTGAACCATTTCTTCATATTTTCATATTTGCAAAATTAAATTTTTATGTCAACTTTGTACTATAAATACAAAGTACTATAGGTACAATCTGTACATATTCCCGATGTGTTATTGTTCATTTTTTTAATATTCTATATTTTTTAAATCTTACCACAGGTGACTTATAAAAGTTTTGTTTTATTAAGCAAGTTACAGTTTAGCATTACAATAAGTATGAATAATTGCAATGCTAATACCCAATTTTTAGTTTTGCAACTGTTTAATGGCTTATATGTAATCCATAGATTTATATTCAAGCAATCAAACAATTTCCATTTTAGTTAACGCTATCGATTCGAATTGACTCAATAGTTTTGTTGTTTACTACAATTACTATTTGTCTGCCTGCACCCTAAAATTCATGTGGGCATAATATGCTATGCTTATAAAGAAGGTTCGCTTATGAATATATGCACATGTACTTTTGTATGTATTAAATATATAGTTGTACAAATGACAAATAAAAATATTGCCTTTTTATGTTGTCATATTTTCCTAATTTTTCATGCAATTGCCAAAATTTTTGACATTCTTATTTTATATTATTGCATATAATTTTTAAGGTTTAATTTTTTCATATATGAAGAAAATTTCTTATTTATTTCGTTTTGAGGAAATACTAGAAAATTTTAGAATAATATTGTTATAGCCCAAAGTTTTTTTATAGCGTAAAGCTTTTATAACAAATTAAAAAATTTTTTGGGTAAAATTAATATTCTCTTGAAGTACCAATAATTTACACTTTGAAAAGGACTGATTATTTTATTTACTTTTAGCACATACACACATGCAAAAACTATATTGATTCAACACAGATTATCAGTTGACCTTTTTGGTTATTATGGGAGATAATTCAATGTACTCGCTTCACGCAGAAAATTCAGTATTGTAGTTTCAAAATAAAATCATAACAATGAAGTGCAACTTGGTATACTTCTTACAGATTTTAATTATATTTTATTTTATTCAATTTGGTAATTTGTAAGATATCAAATTTTATTTTAATTTTTAATTGCAAACTTAATTTAACAATTTCTTTTTATTTTAGTCAAAATTCACCAAAATTTTTTAAACGATTTAAAAATGGTAAGATTGATTAATTATAAAATTAAATATTTTGTATTTTATCTTATTGATTTTCATAAAATAATCTTGAAACAATTTTATTTTAAGCAACCGATAAGTGTCCCGAAATGACGGAATGGGAATCATTACTCCCGAAAGTGAAATTAAAAATTTTTTTTACATTTTATTGAAATCTCTTGTTAACAACTATTTATTATATTTTAGGAAAGCTATTATATAAAATTTCCAGCTGAATACGTTGTAGTTCATCATACAATGGGACTAAGGTGTTTAAATTCCAAAATATGTAAACGAATCGTACAAAATATTCAAATATATTCAATGAACGTTATGACATTGCCTGATATTAAATTTAAGTAAGTACAAGTTTCAATTGAAATAAGTTTCTTAATTTTAATTCAAAAAATTTTGCTCAAGTAGAATTCAACAATTATGACTGAGCTAGATCGAATTTTAAAATTAAATTAATACAGTATAGACCTCAACGGTTTGTAAACGCTTCGACCAGTTTAAGCTCGTAAATGTTTGTAATGACGCGCATAAAGTGGAGGTGCATTAAATGTTAATTGTGACAAATTTCGTTACTTGGTGTAATAAAATGAAAATACATAATTCTGTAAGACGCTAAAATTTATCTATTGTAAGACGCTTACGAGATCGTTTCTATACACACATCCCATTGAACTTCGTACCTGTATTTAGCAACATAAATAAGACACAGTACGAGATAAATATGAATTATTTATTTTTAATTAAAAAGTAGCAGCAATTTCGCTTTTATGAAATCAAAGCTCAAGCAGTCCTGGTTTAATAAGCAATCTCACTCAGAGTATTGTTCCGGTACTATTATAACTGTCCTTATAATATCAATGACACCAATTTATATTTTTGCTTAGATTTTTCTGCAAAAATCGAAATTTAGAGAATAATTGAAACAACATAATAGATTTCATGATTTAATAATTTGATTAAACAATTTATTTAGTTTTTTATTAGGAGAAGATGGTAAAATTTATCAAGGAACAGGATGGTTTCGAAAAAGTTTCCATACATCTGATGACATTAACTCAAAATCAATATCAATTGCATTTATTGGTGACTTTATAGGTATTGAAAATTAAAACAAAATTTTATGAAAAAACTTAAAAGAAAATAATATTATCTTGCAGATGACCGACCAAATAACGAGGCAATGATAAGTTTACAGAATTTAATAAAATGTGGAAAAATGTCAGGATATTTAGCTAAAAATTACAAACTTGTAGCCGCATTTCAAATAGAAAATTCAACAAAAGGACCTGGCAAATATGTTTTTTATGAGTTGCAAACATTAGAAAATTTTTTTAACGGTGAAAATGAAACAACGTAAAAAATTTCTAATTTTACTTTTTTTATTAATAATTATACATAAATAAAATTTCTAAAACTTACATACAAATGAACTAAAAATAATTTTTTAAGAAAAATAGAATAGAAATTTGGTTAATTAGTTAATTTTTTTACATATTAAATGCTAGAGGTTTCATATTCGCAACAGACGACATTCTTCTGACTCGGCCAACTAATTTTCTTTCAATATCTTCCAATGACTTGCCTTGAGTTTCTGGTACCCAATTTATTATAAAGAAAAAGCCTACTACACAAATTGCTCCAAACAACCAAAATGCCCCATAGGTACCAATCAAATCTGTAAATTTAAATCAAGTGTAATAAATGTATGAGTTAAAGCACTATAAAATTATAAATTATGCTTTTATAATAATTTTTTGTGTTATAAATTATAGATATATATAGTAAAACCTTACCAATTAAATCTTGGAAAGTTTTTGTAACTATAAAAGTGCAAGCCCAATTGAATGCAGTTGCAACACTAGCTGCAGGACCACGAATTTTCGCTGGTAAAATCTCTCCCATCATTAACCACGGAATAGGCCCGAAACCTAAAGAAAATCCTAATACAAATATCACAAAACTTGCTAAAGGAATCCAACCAAAATTTGATAAATCGAAATCCAGTTCTTTGCAATAAAAATATGTACCAAGAGTAAAAAGGGTGACTATCATTGCAATATCCGAAACATATAATAAAATCTAAAATTTTCCAATTAAAAAAAATTATGCGACACTATGTATGTAAGGATTTACCTTTCTTCCTAGTCTATCAATAAAAATAGTAGCAATAAATGTTGCAACAAAGTTTACGCAACCTACAATTATTGTACATAAATTTTCATCGATTGTTGAACCTGCATCTTTAAAAATTTGAACAGTATAAAAAATAACTGCATTTATTCCACTCAATTGTTGGAAAAACATTAGACCAAGTGATATTAAAAGTGGTTTTAAATTTTTTCTTTTTAATAATTGCGAACATGCATTAGAACTGGAACTTCTTTCAGCATCCTCATTAGATCGAATAATACTTTTTAATTCTGGTTCGATATCCGTTTTTTTATCTCTTAACCAATACAAAGCTTTTCTTGCTCTATCCTCTCTACCTTGATCTATATACCATCTTGGTGTTTCTGGTATCACAAACATTAATATTAAAAATGGAATAGGTAAAGCTCCACCCAAAAATGCCAAGTAGGACCAATTCAAATAAGTTCCAGCGATAAAACATATTAAAATACCAATGTTACCAAATGCAGTCGGTAACAAGCCTAAAGTACCACGGACTTCTGGCTGAACTGTTTCTCCTAAATATACAGGTAATGAAAGTGAAGCAATACCAACACAAAAACCAGCTAAAATACGTCCAGAAAACACCATATAAACATTAACAGCACATGCAATAAGTAACCAAGAAACTATAAATGGAACTGCTGTCCCTAAAATTGTTGTTTTCCGACCAAAATATTCTATTAATGGTCCACCTGCAATTCCACCTGCCAGACCAGCTAAAGGCATTAATCCACCAATCCATGATGCCTTTAAAGGTAAAAAAAAATTTTAGAATGCATTTTATTTTATTTAAATAACAATAAGTGCTATGCATAATGATTGATGTATGCATAAATGATTTTTCAATTAATAATGCAGAATTAATTTATGTATTCTAATGTATGGTGCGTATAACAACAAACTTTTTACTTTTTTAATTAATGAAAAATTTTGCAAAGTTTCTGTTGTACCAAGAGTCAAAATATTAACGAACTATACATACAAATAAAATAAGTATTTTTTAAAATTAAAAACAAAAGTAAACAAATTTTTAAACTAAAAGTTAATCAAATAAATTAAAATTTCAAATTTGTAATTAAAATTTTTTTATGGGTGCCTCTTAACCCTGTGTACATAAAAAACGAAAATATACGTAATCCACCCTTGAAACTTTAAAAAAGAAAATCACCGTTTCAATGCAATCGAATTCTAATAAAGTAATAAATACTCTTAATATTAGGTCAAACGTTATAATATTAATCGAATTTGCATCATTATATCACATGATAACAACATGAACCAATTCTCGATTAAAGATCAATAAATCTTATCAATAATTTCATAGTCAAATGTAAACGCATATGTTCATGTAGAGTGCAGTTATATTTACTACACTACATTATAATACTACTTACATAAGTATAATTAACTTTGTAACGTATTTTCAACTAATTAGAAACGACGTACCGATTATTCTGATCGAGCGTAACCTGTGACTAATTTTGGAAATGAAGAAAATAAAAAAAAACAAAATCTGGTATTTACATAGGCACTTCTTTTGCTTTTTATAATTCTTATAAATTTTGAAAAATTGGCGAACAAAATCCAAGAGCAGGTGAAACTTCGGCTAGTTTTATACTGTTAAATATTGGATATCTATTTGAAAATTTCGAATAAAATATACACTTTAACGTATATAGTACGTAATCTGTACAAAATTTAGTACGCAATCTATACGAAGTTCTCTACATAAATCTTTTTAATAAAATTTCTTTGGAACCAGCATTCACGAGTATGTTTTGCTCAATCAATTCCCCATTTTTTTTATGTCTCTCCTTTTTGGAAATAATAAATTACAGTAATAGAAGAAATTAAAAATTTTATTTTTATCTACTAAAATGTACAATATGTACATACATATCTATGTCCGAAAAGCACAATGACGCAAACTTTTGATTTAACAAGCTTTAGATTTTGACATTTAATAAAGTAAACTATTATGAATTAAAATTATTTAATTACAAATGCGGAACGGACTCAAAATTACCGAGAGATTATTAAATTACTCGTATCAATATTCTCGTAGCAAATTTTTTTACTAACTTATATTAACATTTGACGACACACACTGGCAGACAATACTATTGCAAAACAAAATTTCTCATGTATGTATGTTCCGCATTAGGGTCATAACATAACTAAAAATTCTTCCTTATAAGTATACCTAAGACAGTAAAATGCCTTTACTGCTGAGAATGCTATTACTGTTGAAAATTATTTAGTTCTCAAATAATCAGAAGTAAATGAAAAATTGTATTTAAAGATAATGTGAAAGAAATTCGGACTGACATTATAATCATGAATTTCAGAGCGCAATGTAAATAAGACTAATTCTTTGTTAACTAACTTATTTCCACCTTTATGTTGGTACATTAAAGAATTTGACATCCAAATTGCAAGTAAGACGCAAACTTTACAAAGTTTTATGATCCAAACTGTAAACAAAAAAATGTTTACAATGTCAACTGATCCAAAATATTTAGTAAACGCCAAATAAAAGCGTTTGTGTACACTCTACTTAAACCTTCAAAACATTATAGTATGCATTGAAAATTTAAATCGGACAGTTGAACATTTTTATAAAAAAGTGATTCAAAACATAAAAATAATCTTTGTATTTTTTTACAATGTATTGTTTAAGTAACATAAATTTGTATTAGTGCGGTATATAAACTGTAATAAAATTTTGTTTTGAGACGATTTGGATGTTACAGATAATCTGATTTGATGAAATAGTTTTATAATTTTCATAAATACTAACCTGTTGCAGTGTGACATCAAAAGATGTTACACTTCTATCTAACATAGAAACTAAAGCTGGTGATGTGTATGCAGAAGCAAATCCAACTACCATAGAACCTAAGGATACTGATAAAGCAGCTATTACCTGCAAAATACAGAATTAATTTTTAATTATTGAATAAAAATTAACCTTTTGATAAAATTTTGTGTTATTAAAATATTGGTAAACTTTATTGGTAAAATAACCATAAAACTGAGAATATTTTTATAAATTTTACTTTACATCTCCCACTGCCATCTTGAAAAAAGTACGAGTATGTCGCCATTTATTAAACACTATCGAATTTCAATAAATACATTAAATTTTACATTAAAAATTTTAATTTATTAAAAAAATATAAAGAAATTAATTTTATGCCATTTTATGTTTCATTACTCTACTCACAGAAAAAAAAAAAAATAAAAAATTTTTGTAATTTAATTGAAGTTTTAAATTTTTTATAGAATTTTTACTTGGTTAAAATAGCAAATTCCGAAAATTATTTTCTTGCATCATATCTTTTTCTAAGCCTATTAAGCTACATTTCTGCTTCTAACTATGTATAGTTCTATAAGTATAACGTTCGTTTTGTGCAGTTTTATTTTATTTCTACAACTTATTAAATTTCTAACTCAAGTTCTATGAAACAAAATAATTGTGTACATAATGTATATTTGCCGATCGTTAAATACGGAAATAACTCGAATATAGAAAAATGAGGCAATTTGCTAATAAGACTTGTCTAGAGTACAAATATAATTGATCATAATTCATTTTTGTATTTATGTATGTATATAAATCCAATCAAATTTAAATAAAACATCACTACATTTGAATCAAATAAATTTTGGATCCTAAAAGTATAAGTGTATATAAAAGTATTCCTTGAAATTTTTCAATTCATTTCAGAAATATTTGAGCTGTTCTTTTTTGAAAGTGGTATAAGTCCATTTTTTCATATATTGAGATATTTAAGGTTTTGCATTTGAATCAATTTAAAAATATTGACCATAATAACATATTTTGTTTGTTTTATGTTTAAGCAGAACTCTATTGAAATTGTGATTGTAGCTGTGGAGATAAGGTGTGTATAGCTCATCAAAATCACCATTAACTTAGTCTTTTTAAAAAGTGGACTTATACCACTTTCAAAAAAACCAGCTCAGTTTTAATTCAACTTTTACAAAAGTTGAGTAAAATATTTCTGAATCTTTTTGTTCAATAACTAAAGTTTAAGATACATTATAAGATCATTAAACTTAAACTATTTATAATTTAATATTTTTTTCTTTAATATTTAACATATTTACAATATTTTATTTAAATATAGAAGTTACATGAATAAAAGTCGAATGTTAAGTCGAAAATAATTAGGTCAAAATGTAAAATGTTCTAAGATTAATCATGAAAAACCTCGTTCTTAATTCACCCACTTACAGAATTGAGAAATTCAAAATAATAAAAATTTTGTTAAATCAATTTGAAAACGACTTAATCTTTCAAGGTTACAAGTTTAATACAAATGAAACACACATTATCTATCAACATAGATAATAATGCTTATTTGGGATGATGTGTGTAGACTTTGTTTTTGTTTTATTTAGAAAAAAAAACGAACGCACACCGCACCGTGTACTCGTAACATAAGAATTTAATGTTTTTTTTTTTACTTAAACTAAATCCGTGAACCGAGACACGAGAATATTGTGATGAAATTGAATTTCATATGACTATATTTATCTGTATCAAAAACGTGTCAAGTGATTAAATTTGCAAAGAGAATTTTAATTAATATTTATAATGAATTGATTATGATATTGAAAATTATGGCATTGTAGGTGCTCAAAATTAAAATATCAATAATTTCATCTTAAAGATGAACGTTGCATTAATTCAAAATGCTCTACGATTTTCAAAAATAACTATATAAATTTAATGATTATAAAATTAATAAAGCTGAATACAATAATTTCATTTTACAGAATCATTTCTAATCAAAAGCAAAAAAAATCTGATATGATCAGCACATAACCGACCGCAATGTGTATTACCTAGTTTAGTGAAAGTGTTCAGATCTCAAATATTACATTGCAAGAAATTCCATTAATCCGATCCGTAGATCTGGTATTAAATGTAAAATCGGTTCGATTTTCGAGCCCTGATCTTTCAAAAAAAATTATAGGTTCATTGCTTTAACACCCCGGATTCAAATATTAAATTTCAAGGAAATTGGTTGACAATTTCCATAGAACAATTTCTCTTTATATAAGCAAAAAAGTAAAGTGGGCCCGCAAAAAGATCCAATTGCCGGGGTCTGACATATCCCAAAAATTGATCAAACCGTGCCACAGCCAAAATAAGCTCATATAAAATTTCATTCAAATCGGTTTAGTCAAACTTGAGATACACGCGTTCGCACACAGACCAATAGACCGACATCTCCGTAAAAAAAAATTTTATGCTTTACTATTATGTAGAAATGCGTTCCCACAGAAAACTCCACATCCGAAATTCGGTGCCATCACATTACCTTCCTTATTGTAAACAAGGCGGTCGGTAATAAAATAAATGATATTTAAACTAAATCAATATAAAAAGCGCACTTATTCTCAAGTTAAATTTAGGCTACCCCAATAAAATAAATACTTTTTGATAACCTAATTAAAAAATATTAAAAAACAAAAATATAATATGTGTACTTGTTATTGTTTTTAATAGTTGAAATTTTTATGTATACAATTATAGTCTGAATTTCGTTTTGACACTTTAATATTATAATTTGCTCGTTTTAATTCGAATTCAAACTATTTGATTGACTCAATAAATTCTGCCTTCTAAACAGCGTTCCCACTTGGATACAATTGTATCCATTTGGATACATTTTTGCTCTAAAATTTAGTTTGGATACAAAGATACTCAAATCTGCTAAAATGTCGAAATTGGCTACATTTTAAAATTTTGCTGAAATATGGATACATTTCTTTCTCGAACACTAAATAAATGTTAGAAAACTTTTAAAGTACTGTAACTTTTAAGTGCTTTATCTTCCAAAAAATGTTATTTGCTGACTAAATAAAATTTGCCCGTTTTCATGCTGAATCGTTTTTACCGCATAGTTCAACAGCTACAGAACATATATTTTCTGACCTTAAATTTTAAAATGTAATAGAAATTGCGTGTGATTTCTAAAAGAATTTATTATAAATAACGAAACTCACATTGTTGAATAAAGCAAATTAATATTATTTATGAGCTTATTGGTATAAAATAAGACGATTTAGTATAATAATTCTAGTTTAGGAGGCTGGATACATTTTGGATACATTTTTTTCTCGAAATTGGATACATTTTGTTTTTATTGAGTGGGAACACTGCTTCTAAATTCAAGAATTTACTTTAGGATTTCAACTTAAATCCATCGCCTCTACTCAAAATTACTTATAAGATTATGGGGAAATTTACTACAATTTGACTTTGCTCAGCAATTTCTTGTGAAAAACTTACTTCATATACTTCACATTATGTATAACAATTCAACAAAATAAACTGAATTAATCTTGTTTTTCATTTAGGAAGTTCGTTTAATAGTGTGTAAATAATCTGTTATATTGTAAATATAAATTACTTTCGATTAACAATTAGTGAAGTCATAATTAATATTTCTTTACTTAATAATCTTGTTTATTAAAATATAACTATAATTTCAAATTAAATTTCAATAACCAAATAAAAAACGTGAGAAACCAACAAGGGAAATTTACCAAAAAAAAGTTATTTTGTATGTTTAATAAAGAGCTACATTTTATCGCTGAAATTATGGAAACTGTTCTAAAAAAAATTAAATACATATTAAATAACGAATGATTAGAAAACTCTTAACATATTAAATAATTTTTACGGTTATTTAAGTTTTAATAATTTTATACTTATAGAACAAAAAATAAGAAAAAAAATTTATTTTAAACCTGTGATATTGTGCTTTTAGCTTTTGGTTCTTCAACTGGTACACTAAATGACACATGAGTGTCAGCACGCATTAAAATCTTCATATTGGTTATTTATTTTCTAAATGTTGCTTCCTTATACCTAACAATTATTTACACTTAATTATTTAAATTTACTTAAGAATTCCCAACAATATTTTTTTTTGATCCGTTTTGTAAAAATTACACCAGATAATCAGTTAAATTCCGCTTACTTATCTGCAATGAGAAAAATAAAAATAAATAAATATTAAGTTTTAATAATATTAAATTGAAAATATTTTTATTTTTATAAAATATATTGTTGATAACTAAAATAAATTCTAAATTATGCATTCTTTTATATTCGAAAATCTGTTTGTATATCTTAATGAATATGGTCAACAAAAGTTAATAAAATCAATAAACTTTTGTTATTAATTTTATGAAGTGATTTGTCTGTTCTATAGACTAAAAGCAAATAACAATTAATATTGATTCTAATGAAATTAAAAAAATATTTTCTTAGAAATTAATCTCCTTGTTTTCTTAATCGAAACTATTATTTTGTTTTTATTGAAATTTTTTTTTAATCTTTCAGTTATCTGCAAGAATAATTTATATACAATTAATTTTATCATAATTTCCATTAAACTACTTTTCACTTTTCTTCTGAATTATAAATAAATAAAATTAATTAGGAAAATTAATTGACCCTTAGTCATACTATAAACTGCAATTGATCTGGAGATGTAAACATTCTTAAAGGCTTATAAAGCATTTTACGTTCGAATAATTTAAAAATATTAGGAAAAGTGAATAAGCTCCGCAATGTCACAAAATTAAACTAAAACAACCTTATTATTTTTTATATTAAATATAAAAATTAATGAATAATGATCCGAATAATCTGAAAGTGACACAGTGTACGTTTGTGAAAAATACCTATTTATTCATTCTATTCAAAATTTTTAAATCCTAAAGCCTAAAGAAAAATTTTCAAGATCAGGCATGTTACGCCAAAATCCAAAAAAAAAATATGTATGTAAAATTGAACTAAATTTATGAAATGAAATCTAAATTAAAATAAACATGATTTTAGTACTTAAAAGTTGAGCAAGGATTACCAATATTTTTCAATATTTTCATGCTATAGTAATTTACTAATTTTTCGTAACCTGACCATTGGTGCACCGGTCCTTTAACCGAAGGGTCTCGGGTTCAAACCCCGGTCAGGTTATAAAGTTATATTTAATATTATTATAACTTAATATACAATACTAATAAATATTATACAAGTAATTTTTAAATATTCGTAATATTTGATATTAAAAAACAATAAACAGTAGAAAAAATAACACTAAATATTAATAACGTCAAATAATTAATATAAATAAAACTACGGCAGGCTAGTCACCAACCTAGTTAACTCTATGACGCTATGAAACTAATGCATTATTATATCATGCACTAGCCATATGCTCCTTCTAGGAGTGAATAAGGAAAAAAAAATTTTTTTCGTAGAAGATGAATAACTTTATATAAATATAATATAAAGTGATATAATAATTTTATATAATAATATAAATATATATATATAATAAATGTACGATTGAAAAGAAAAATTAATAATAGATAACAAACGAAGATTTTGCAAAGGAAAATGTTTAATAAAGTAAAAAATCATGAAAGCAAAACAATATTCAATATGTAAATAATTAAAAACTGGAATGAACAAAAATTAACCAAAACCAATCAGTTATTGATTAAGAAAAATGTTAAATTTAATTTTTCTATACACAATCACTAAAAAACTAATAATAAATTATGAAGATTTATAAGCACATATTATGATGAATTTACACTTATTGTTTCAACAAAAAATTAATTTGAGTACATACTTAGACAAAATTATTAATATTAAAAATTTAAGGAACCATTGTTCGAAGTTGTACTTATTTAACTATTTTTAAATTGTCAAGACTTTTCAATTATGATTAAATTTAATGAGACTCTTTAAGATTTATGTTAAATTTGCCAAACGAAATAAGAAAAATATCGAATTGCCGAGTTCGACAAAATATTTTCAAAAATTTCATTAATTATTATTAATTATTTTGATTTTCACACTTGTTCTTTATAATCATAATTATAAAATAAATTAAATTTCAAGTTCACCCAATAAAAAAATATGGCAAAGGTCATTCCAAATATTTACACGCTTAATATAACTCCATCAGTTTTATTTTACACATATTTTTTTGTTTAACACTAGTAACATTGCTTATTTACAAGGGATTTTTATAAATTTATTTAAAACTTTATTTAAATTTTAAAATTGTATAAAAATATATTTCGCCGCTTTTTTATTATTTACCCGTTTAACACGTGATATGCGAATGAGCTATAAAATAATTTTTTCACGTGTGAAATTTACAAATGCACTTCTTAAATAAATCTCTTACGAAATAATAAAATAAATTATAATAAAAATATCTCCAAAATTTAAGGAACTTAAGAACTAAAATGAATCAACTTAAAAATTTAGTTTAAAAGATATGAAAAAAAAAATTCAAGATTTGTTTTAGTTATATTAATATTTTAGTTATTTAATAATCTATTAAAGTGGAAAAACGCTAATAACTTGCTGTAATATATGTTTCTAGCGTTTAACAATATTATCAGCAAATCTTTTGTCGTATATAAATGATTTTTTTCAAATCAAAAACTTTATTATTAATTTCTCATTATCTAATTCCTTTAGTTAAAATTTTATTTATTTAATTAAAGCACTATAATCTCTAATAGTTAGTGAAACACGAAAAACTTTTTTCAATTCAACACTCCAAATGTAAGCTCTATTTAAATTTTAAAGTCTTAACAACAAATTTAAGTAAATTTCATCAATTACATTGTTAATTTTTTATTAATTTTCAATTGAATTTTTCTTAATTGGAAAATTTTAACAATTTAATTTTTAATTTAAGTTCTTTTTTTCTTTAGAATGAATTATTTTTTAAATAATTTTTTTATTAATAAGTCTTAGTTATTACCAAAATATTTATAAAAAAATATTTTTGTTACTTAAAACATTCTCATTTTTGGACCGAATAAATAGTGTGATAGTGTAAATAGTGTTTCTTATACACTATAAATTTTACTTTTGCTTATTTTAAGTGAGATTGCCTAAGAGAACAAAATTTAAGTGATCTTGAAATCTCTTGAATTGTAGAATATAAAAACAAATGAGATATCAAATTATATACACTCAGAATATTATGGACTCAATATATACATCATATTTTAGATATAGCTACTCATAAAAGTAAATCTTCAAAAGTAGATGATTAATAGAAACAAAACGTAAATTATCATAGATACATTTTGTAATTGAATTAAAATAAGAAAACACATTACTACAATCTAAACCATGGATGTCAAAAGTGCGGCCCGTGGGTCGCATGCGGCCATTTTCTTATTTTGGTGCGGCCCTCTAAAACGAATTGTTAAAATATTATTATGGTTTAAACTGTTTTGATTTTGCCAATTCTACGATTGGCTACTACAAATATGCAACCTAATATTTTAAGACTTGTTCAACAGAAGCAGTGTCACTCAGCTCCCAGTACTTCTAATAAAAAATAAATAAACGTTTATACACCTTAAAAATTGAATTAATTGTTTTATTTTGTGGCCCTTTTGTCATACAGAATATTGGAAATTGGCCCATAGTTTCAAAAGTCTTGACATCCATGATCTAAACTATAAAACTAAAATAAAAAGGTATTTTGAATCTTGAACCAATATTAAAATATATTTGTAATTGTAAATATGTAAACTAAACACAATTTTGTCAGCTTCTAAATTCTTTTTGAACACTATTTTAAAATTATAAAATTTATATAAAAATAACTTAATATCTGGGTTCTATTGCATCAACATCTTTCACTTTGCAACTTTTTCAAAAAATTCTAATTTTTTATTAATATAAGTACATAGTTCCTTTTTTTGGTAACATAGTTCTGTTGTGATTTCACTCTTGGTGCAACAGAAAATTTGCAAATTTTTTGAATAGTTGATTAAAACTGTTTGGTGCAACTGGACTCAGGTATCGAAATCAAAATCACTAGATTATTTTTCAAATTAAGATTTTTTTCAAAGTAATTCGTAGTACCTATGTTGAATTTAATAAAACTTATATAAAAAAAATTTTAAAAATTTGGTAATATAACAACTATTACTTGAATTTGAACATTTTTCATTATTTTAAATTAAAACTTTGAAAATTCGAATTTTATTTAATTTTAAATCTTATGAGTTCGTTAAGAGATTCACTATTTGACTAAACTCGAAAAGATCGATTTTTATAAATGAAATTTACATTTGTTTATTTTATTAAAAAATAAAAAGAAAAACAAGAAGAACAAAAAGTATTTTATTTTTCCCTTATAACAATAAATTATTATCATATTTTATTATTTCGCTATCAATTACTTAAACTGTTTCGTCGCTTTCTTATTGCTATTCTGATTATAATTTAGTTTTGTATTATTGTTAATCACAGTGATTTAAATTTTCATCGTATACAGTTCTCATAACGTACATCAACACATCACTTTAGTACATATACTTAATATTAATATGTAGGTATTTTGTACAGTATTAACAAACAATATTTTATTTATTCAGATGATCATAATCTGGTGCATCAAATTTATTTGTTATTCCAGTGGTAATGACGACATTGATTTTGTACAGTTAATTAAAATATAACTTTAAATATAATGCAATTTAGAAATCTGAAAAAGATAATTTAAATATGAATAAAAAATTTTTTTAAAAATTTGAATACGGTCGCGCAAAAGTATTGATACAGTTTTTTTTATTTTTATATTTCACATACTGTTCTTAACATTATATCCTATTTTAAGGCAAACCTAATGCACGCTCTGCCCATTAATGAAAAAGTATACATTGTTGTTAACAAAGTGTAGATATTTCTAAAGCATTTCTAAGCCTTTGAATTTATTAGCGATGCTTTACCAACTCAAAAAACATAATATTTTTGAAAGGAACATAATATTTTTGAGTATACCGCATAACTATCAATGGGGGACCAAAAAAATTTCGATATAATGCAAGGTACAAAAAAAATCCTTGAACATCTGGTTTTCACTTTTCATTATCGCCCAAAAACTCAGAATTCACTAACTATTCTGAATTAATATTTAATATTATTTTCTGTATTAATTTAAGTAACTAGCATCATGTACATTGTAGGTTCCTTACTAATGTATTTATTTTATAGAAAATTTTTTCGCTAACATTGAAATTTCGTCATTGATCCTGAGATAAGATTATTGAAATATTCATAAGAAAGAAATCATTTGAACTTTTCCATAAAATTGAAATTATCGAGCAATGCACGAGAGTAATTGAGTAATTCGCTTTTGATTTCTTTGTTACCAAGCTTCACCAGCTTAAGTTACCTTTAATTTTTTTGCACTTTGGTAAAAAACATACTTAAGCAAGTTTTATTAACAAATGTAAATAATGTAGATTCCTTTTACATACATATGTATGTATATATAAGTACATATAACCATCCATTTCTTATGCGCAAACCAAACCAAGTGTTTAGGTTATTGAAACAAAATTGAAACCTGATTACTGCAAATTTTTTTTATTTTTTGTCAATTTTAATGCATTTTTTTAATTCCTAAATCCGAAAATGGTGCGCTCCAAAGGTTATTGTTTTGAATAATTTATAATAAATATTTATTTCCTTTCTATTAAACATACCTTGTAACAATCAATTCTCTTGAATGAGAGTTGTTTTTCTTATTCGACGAATTTAAAAACCATTTTATTAAAAAAATAAACTATCATAATATAATATATTAGTAAATATTATTTACTAATGTACTGACCACATTTTTAAAAAATTTATTGACATAATTATTATTAAAATTAAGCATTTGCTCCTACCTAACCTACAGTTATTTCTTCTCATAACACAAAGCACCCTGGTATCGCTAAAAACAAGTACATACTTCATTGTCAAATTATCAAGGTTATACGCTAATACCCTTCAAATTATATGTAACTGAGCGTATTATAAAAAACAATCACCCACATAAAAACAATCACCCTATTGAGTTATAAATTAAAAAATTTTAATTTTTAAATACTTCAAATCCTTAATTTTCTAATCTGATCTTTTCAAACTATCTCTGCTTTCCGATAGTGGAATTTCTTTCTTTCGGAATGCTTTTGTATAATAGATGGCGCTGATTTACTTCATAAAATTAACTTTCAAAAAATACGCCGACTTATTAGATACCAATACAATACAAGTTGACTTGTCAGTAGCCAATTCTAATAAGCAATATAAGTTTTGACATATTTTCATTATTTTTATTAGGATTTAGATATGATCAACATGCAGCAAACAACGATATTAATTCAGTGAGATCAAAAAACTATAGGCATGATGAATGAATAGCATAATACTGCAGTATCAAGGTTTACACAAAAATTTTCACAGTTTTTTGTGCGTAATCTACGTATTTGAAGTTATGACTTAATATTATCATAAGGGATATCTGTCTAGGATAAAACTTAAAAAAAACTTTTAAAATCTTTATAAATGCGTGATAAACGTCAAATTTCAAAGTATTTGTCAAACATTAACAGATATTTTTTGGCTATACCAAAAACTTAAAATTTTGCTTTTGGATTGCAAGTGTGAAACTTGGAAAAAAGCATTTGTAAATCCATTTTGTTTATTTTATTTTTAATTGAAAAGCTTTAATAAAAAAAAATTATTGTTGATGAAAATTTTTTTCAAAAATAAAACCTTCAGAAATAACCAAGAAAAACATATGTTTCGGTAGCTGTAAGATTTTAAAAGTTTTTAAAACACTAGCATTTCAAACATTAAGGAAAAGAGAATGTCATAATTTTCTTTCCTTTTTTCTTATACCTAATCATGATAATATACATGTATTAACACAAAATGGGGTTAACCGCGGTTGACAGAAAAATTACAAGTAGTTTAGATGAGAAACACAATAATTATGAATTATGATTTACATAAATGTCAAAATTTTGATTTTCCCTCCAATTTAGAAATGTCATATACGTATTTACAAATTATATGAAGATTCGATTATATTAAAAAAAACTTTAATTTTAATTTAAATTATGGGATTTTATTACGATCTTTTAATTTATTAGAACATTTGTTGCATTTTAAATTTCGAAATATTTGTTTATAAAAGAATCCGAATTTTATTAAAGGTGAAAGCACACCAAGTATTACGCAAACATGGCCCAAAACCAAAAATCAATATTGTAAGTTGTAAAATATTATTTTGTCAATACAATTTTAATATTTTGGTGTTACAGGTCATTCTTCCAAAAAGCCAAAATCTCTTCCGAAAACTCAAAACCAATGACAACCTCTGATGAAGATGAAGATAGGTATTTTCCATTTTAAATATTAAATTTCTTATTTTTGTTACAGATGTTGCCTATTATAAGATGGAAAATTTTTAAAACAATAACTTGTATTCAAACGACAATATCAAAAAAACCTTGTATAGAATTAGTCAATAATTGCCCTCTAATCCAATGTTCATTTTGCAGCATTAAAAATGTTGGTAACAAAAAAATTAAAAGAAGAAGGCTATCCAGCAGTGATGAAGAAAACTCTGATAGCAAGTAATAGCTTTGTCAGCTTTAAGTTATAAGTATTTACCTACATATATTACTGATGAATTTTTCTTTAATAATTTTTTTAGCCAACGTTCATCGAAAAAGCAGATGATTTCGCCACTAAAACAAATTGCAAATATCAAGAAGGAGGATAGTTTGGACAATAATATCAAAAAAAAATCGAAAGATTCAATAGAAACAGTGGAAAAGAATAACGGTTTGGTTCATTCGAATGATAAAAAAAGAATATCTTCGCAAGAAATAAAAAGTGAAAAGGCAAGCAAACAAGTTGAAGATTCAATAACAAAAAAAAGTCCTGCATTAAAAAAAAAATCTTCGCCTAAAACTTCAGCAAAAAAATATGGAAATTCAGTTGATGCTAAATCTAATCAAAATTCTGCAAACGAAAATCATGACGAAGAATTGAAGGAAAAGAGTAATTCAATTGTAAAGAAAGAATTAAAAGTGCAATCGGCCGGATCTGGTCAAAAAGGAGCAGATTACAATCCGTCCAAACCGCAGTATCATCCCATCAAGGATGCTTTTTGGGAAAAAGGAGAAAAGTAAATAATTGGAAAAAATTAAATGTATTCAAATTATATTGTAATCAATCTTGTAGAGTACCGTATTTAGCGTTAGCGAGGACTTTCCAAATGATTGAGGAAATTAGCAGTCGCTTGAAAATGATTGATGTTCTGAGTAATTATTTTAGATCGGTTATAATTCTCAGTCCTGATGATTTGCTTCCGAGTGTTTATTTAAGTTTAAATCAACTTGCCCCTGCTTATGAAGGTTCTGTGACGTTAATCATATGTATGAAATTTTGATTATAATTATTTCAGGCATAGAATTGGGGGTAGCAGAAACAAACTTAATGAAAGTTATTGTCCAGACGACTGGTAGAAGTTTGGGACAAATAAAATCAGATGTCCAATCAATCGGTGATCTAGGGATTGTGGCAGAACAATCAAGAAGTAATCAGCGATTAATGTTTATTCCAGCCCCTTTAACTGTTAGCGGAGTATTCAGCAAATTGAAAGATATAGCAAAAATGACTGGAACCGCTTCAACAAACAAAAAAATTGATAAAATACAATCAATGTTTGTTGCTTGCCGACATTCTGAAGCTAGATATTTCATTCGATCTTTGGGTGGAAAGTTAAGAATTGGATTAGCAGAGCAGTCATTACTTCAAGCATTGGCTGTTGCATGTAGTAAAACGCCTCCTAATCAAGAAAGTTTTCCACCAGAAATCCTAAATGCTGCAAAAAACATGGGGGAAAGTAGCTTTAAAACAGTATGTGAAGAAAACGCTTTAATTTTAAAAACAGCCTATTGGTGAGAAAATTTTTAATAATCGTTGTTTCCATAATTATTTTTCTCTTAACTTTTCAGTCAGTGTCCGAATTACAACAAAATAGTTCCAAGCCTTCTACAGAACGGATTTGAAAAATTATTAGAAAACTGTCCGATGGAACCTGGTACGCCACTGAAACCTATGTTAGCTCACCCAACAAAAGGAGTCTTTGAAGTTTTCCAAAGATTTGAAGGGTTAAAATTTACTTGTGAATGGAAATATGATGGAGAACGTGCACAGGCAATTTTGACAAAAATTAATTTTTTAAAGTTTAAAAATTATTTTTAATTAATAGATACATCGAGATGAAAATGGAAAAATTAGCATTTATAGCAGAAACCAAGAGAATAACACAAGTAAATACCCTGACATTATTGCCAGAATTGAGGATATGAAACTTGAAGGAGTAAAATCTTATATCATAGACAGTGAAATTGTTGCTTGGGATATTGAGCGTCAGCAAATTTTACCTTTCCAAGTTTTAAGTACCAGGAAACGAAAAGATGCCGATGAAAAAGAAATTAAAGTTCAAGTTTGTGTGTATATGTTTGATCTGTTGTTTCTAAATAGTTGTGCGTTAGTGACAGATCCCTTTATAAATAGACGCGCGAAATTGAAAGAAAATTTTATAGAAATTAGTGGGCAATTCAAGTTTGCTAACGGAATAGATACTTCCGATATTGATGAAGTTCAAACATTTTTAGAAGAATCAATAAAAGGTAATTGCGAAGGTCTGATGGTTAAAACACTAGAAAAGGAAGCCACATATGAAATTGCTAAGCGTTCCCGAAATTGGTTAAAACTAAAGAAAGATTATTTATCAGGAGTAGGTGATTCCTTAGATTTAGTTGTAATAGGTGGTTATCGAGGAAAAGGTAAACGTACCGGTACTTATGGAGGCTTTCTTCTAGCATGTTACGATGCTGAAAATGAAGAATACCAAAGCATTTGTAAAATAGGAACTGGATTTAGCGACGACGATTTACAAAATCATGGGGAATTTTTTAAATCTCATGTTCTTTCAAATGGTCCAAAATTTTATTTTCGTTTTGATAGTTCTCATGAACCAGATGAATGGTTTGAACCCGTTCAAGTTTGGGAAGTTAAATGTGCCGATTTATCATTAAGTCCAGTTCACAAAGCAGCAGCTGGTATAGTAGACGCAGAAAAGGGCATTTCATTACGTTTTCCGCGTTTTATTAGAATTCGTGAAGACAAGTCCCCTGAAGATGCAACTTCGGCAAACCAAGTAGCGGAAATGTATTCTAATCAAGATCAGATCAAAAATCAGCAAAATGTAACAAAAGATCCCGAAGATGATTTTTATTAATAGTAAATTGAAAATAAAGAGTCATTTTTTTATTTATGGTCACTTTAATTTCTTTCTACTTCTCAATATTGGAACAACTTTTCACTTAAGCTATACTGTACATTCATATTTTCCGTACTTAAATTATTATTACTTTGCTTTAACAGCTTGTTCTGTCAGACTAGTCCATATAAATCCTGTAGGTCTTGAGTCAAAATCCATTGAATCTGGGGGAGGGAATGGCGTCGTTCTGTCGTGGTAATAATTGCTTGGGGCGTGCATTATAAACTCCAAGCAAGATAATTTCCTAGGACAATCTTCTTCTGGTCCTATTATAAAAAAAAAGGTGTATGTACATAATTATGTTTTCAAAATTTATCACTAGAAGAGTTTCATTACCTATCAAATAAGTGCTTGGATCGAATCTTTCATTAGGAGATGGTGAATATTGTGTTGGAATCAACCAAGTTAGAAAAGCCGCCTTTTCGCAGTAAGTGTCAACAAGAAGACCCCGAATTTGTGCGTAATATACATTATCTTTCGCATCCATAACTGAAACGATATCACCAACTTGCATGTAAGATCCCTTATAAAATACACTTTCAACCGTTTTTGTAGAAGCTGGCACCATTGGAGATTTAAATACCCCTATGATAACAAATTAAAATATAATCAATGACTTCAAAAGTAAAACAAATAACACTCTACGTTTTTTGAAAATATGTCTTCTGCCTCTTCCTTTATTATTTACTTTTGTTGCCGCTGCCGTCTTAGCTTTAAATCTTGTCATTCTTGCACTTTTTCTAGGCTTAGAACTAATTTTTTCTCCATTTTCATTTTCTTCTTTCTGAACCTCCAGTTCCTCGACGACTTCCGACTTTATTTGTTCAGTATTTATATTTTGCTCGAAACAATCATAACAAATAATTCCAGCATCAGAAGATTTCCACATAGGAGATTCAACTTTTTCACATTGCGCACACTTAGGGCTCACCTTTTGAGGCATTTTTAAAATAATAAAAAATAGGATAACAAAAATATAGTATTTAAATAAGTATTGTATATAAACAATATTTTCTTATTTGACAGATCTCATATATTTAAAACAATAGACCAAGTTAACTTAGATTGGCCGTACAAAAAGCATTTTTTTTTTTACACCCGAATTTGAAAAACACCTGGGTTCCCATTTTCAGATTCCTTGCAAGTGACAGGCTTCCAATTTGCATTCTATATTTTTATTTAATATAAATTTTTCCATATGTTTAATTTTTCAATTTTTTCATATACTTAAGAATGAATGCTACATGTGAATTCGTTTTTTTTTAATTTTTATTTTTAACGACTGTTTACCGGACTGAAATTATTTCATGGCGCTCAGATCCCACAAACCTCACAAAATTTAATATCAGATTTAACAATAATTTTTTAAAGTTTTGAGTAACGATCAAAAATATACAAAATTCTTAGTTTTTGTTTATATACACGACAACATTTTTTATTTAATCTGAATCTGACGGAAGTTGTTTTAGCTAAATAGTGTATATAGCAGCTTTAATCATTACCATTAATACACACAGATGCTAAATTAGATTTTTTATTCTATATTATTTTGAAAAGTAAAAAATTAATTAATGTAATAATTCTAAATATTTTATTAACGTTTTTAAGAAAGCAAATTCTATTGTGAACTGTTTTCATTATGCCAAGTAAAGTTAAAAGAAACTCAGTTTTGGAGTTAACAATTAATTAAAAGTTTTTAAGAAAGCGCATATTCCATGCTAAGGTATTCAATTGGCCTAATTGTTAAATAAATCTCGGGGAATTTTCGCTTTTCTGATTAAAACTATTATTTAATTAAATGAAAAGTAGATTACCTGCAGTTTTTATTACTTTAATTTAAAAGTGCTAAAATTAGTTTCTTTTGACAGTGGTGATTTTTGACAGTGACTCAGTGACAGGAGATTTTCGATATTTTTGCAGATATGCACTTTAAATTTTAAAAATATTTTTTTTTTGTATCATTACAGGCCTGCAAGAACTAACAAGTTAATTTTTCGGAGTTTTTGTTCCTTACAATTTTTCCGTCTGATTTTTTTCGAACTTAAAATATTTTTGCAAATGGTGCAAAATCTTTAAAAATTGTTTAGAATTTTTAGAACATGTTACAATTTTCGAACGTGCTTCTTTTGCGACTAAAATTTATCGAACATGCTAAATTTTAAGTGTTGTAATTTTGACTTATGGAACATGCTTTGCACATACATATGTATATAGAAAATTTCTATTAGAAATATGTTAGAAGAGAACTGAATATTAGAAAACCCTCTAAGCTGAGCAATTTTTATTTTTTTATTCACCTTTATTGTTATTCAACATTAGTAACTCTTCATTGAAACATTAAGTAATGTTTCGTATGCAGTACAAGATGCAATAACAGTCTTATTTTTTAGATCATTAAATGAATTTGTATTTTAAAATAAAATAAATTATAAAACGTGGAAATTTTCAATATCATTATAATCAAAGTGATTTAAATTTTAAAATACATATTCAATATATTGAAACTTAAAAATTTTTAATATGAATGTGTTTATTCGCATACAGTAGAATTTTTTAAAAATTTTATAAATTTTTTTGATAAGTTTAATTAATGTTAATATTTCCTTTGACATTAATGACGATAAGTCAGTTACTTTTTAAGCTTCGAGCAGTAGTGAACTATAAAAGTTTTGACCGGAGCTCGCTCCTACCATAAGTAAAAAATAGATATGAAGGTTGAAAAACTGTAATATGTATGATTGCTCTTTGGATTTTTTTTAATTAATTTTTTTAAATAAAACAATAACAATTCATTGATATTACATGACAAAAAAAAAAACATGAATATTAATTTAAAATTAATTAACATGCTTCATGTTTTAAAAATAAAAGAATATCGCAACTATTTAAACTATAAAACTATATTTTTTTGAGAGATTAGAATATTTCCCAACTTTTATCATTAAACTTAAACGAAATTCCAATATTTTTTTGTATAACAAAAAGTGTTTAATGAAAAAAATAGATTTCCTAAAATTTTGCCTGGGAGCTCGGAAATTTTATAAACTTTTTCGGGGGGGCTCACAAATTTTCCAAAATTATGCATGTGGGCTCGAGCGAGCCCCTGCCAGCTCATCTCTGACTTCGAGTCTTTTCATTTTTTAGTAAATGATTGTATTTATGTATTTTTTGTAAAATTATACGTACTTCCGTAGGGCGTATCTACCAGTAAAAACGTCATAAATTAGGTATTCCGGAAATATTCTTATTGGCTTTAAGTGCCTCAAAGAATCATTTGACTTTAAGGCCTGAAAAAAATTATAGCCATATAGTATGCGTCGGAAAGGTATTGAAAAACTGTAAAAAAATTTAATTGAGAAATATTTTCGGAAATCGGGAAGTACTAATTCCAAAAAAAAACTTTTGGAGGATTTTTCTTTACAGTTATTCATATACATATATATATATATACCTACTTTTACATTATTACCTACAAGTATATATATATATATATATAAGTATATCAAATATCTCATAATATGAGGTATTGATGATATATATATGATGATGATATATTGATGATAATATGAGATACATATATATTATATATGTATTTAGTAATGATAACAAAAATTTTTTAAAGAAGTTTTATAAAACTTCACATGTTTAGTTTATAAATATGTCACGAAATAGAAAAAATATCGATAAACAACGATGCAAATGCAGCTACCACTAATCTGAGTTATTTTTGGCTTTTAAGTTTTTCATATTTTAACTAAGTTAATTTTTGAATAATTTGAAAACAATTATCAAAGCTTTTATTTTCAGATAACTGAGTTATTTTAGAACCGTTCGTTACTTTATTCAATTTATACACATTTATTCATAAACGCCATGATGGGGTAAAATTTGATGATTTAGGAACTGAAAAAGAAAATAAAATGTAAATATTTGTTTGTTATTAAATTATATTAAATATTTCTAAAAAACATTTTTTCCATACTACATATCTGTTAAATACAAAACAATAAAGTGTGTTTAAAGAGACCGATTTCCGAAACTGAAGCATTTTCAAGTAAGTTGTTTTAAATGCGGCAAAAAATTGTGTTTATTCCAAAATATTACTTAATGTACTTTTTTGAAAAATTTGCTGTTACAAACTTATTTCAAGAAATTTTTCGAATGAAATACTAGAAGTTACGAATGATACTAATACTAGTAGTCTTTATTGAACTCAATTTTCTCAAAATCCCGCTAATTATGGCTTGTATGGCGACCTCTGCAAAATTTAACAGCTTGCTAAAAGATATCTTATTAATCTAAAAACATATTAATTTTTGTTAAGTTTGTTCATTGATCTGTCTTCCAAAAACCTTTTTCTATTTTTTTAATTTACATATACATACATACAATATATATGAAACCTGCCTAGCACATTTTAATAAAAAAAAAAATAAAAAAATGAATTGCCTACTTTATAAAGAAAAAAAAAACCACATACTTATTTATATTTTGTTATTTTGTTTATCTGAGCTATCTTATAATTTTGGATCTAATATTTTAAATCACCTTTAAAATTTCGCGGTCAAACTTATAAAGAGGATTTATTTTTGTTAATTATTGCCGTGATAAAAGATAAAAATCCGAAATGTTAGCATACAAAAAACAAAATAAGGGAATAGTTTTCATTGATTATATAAAAACTCAATAAAATACAAAACTATCTTGGTATGTATAAGTAATAAAAATCAAGTAAAACCAAAAAAAACACTTTTTTGTTTTCATTTTAACTTTCTTTAGCAATGGAAGTAAGGATCAACGAATTCAGTCCCAAGCATTTTGTTCGTAGAAATATTCGTAGTTAGTAAATTTAATCTCGAAACAATTTGGAATAGCCCTACTAATGCTGTTCGCCAATTTTTTCTTTGGTTCTTTAAAAAACGAAGTGTTAGTAGGAAGGTAGACACATTAAATCTACTAATGTACATTAAACACCAACGAAGTTGCAAATTTTATAATTTTTATCACATCTAAAAATTGATTTCTTCTATAAGCATATACATCATACGTTCAGCATTCTTTTTTTAGTACTAGTTCATTCAATTCCGTTATGCTTGGAATTGACTTAAAAAATTTTGGTTGACCTTTTGATTCTTGTTCAGCTAATTCTTTAGGGTGAGCTTTTTTTTCATGCTTTCGACAATTTGGTCGATTTGGGAACTTTAGATCACAAAAAGGGCACTGATAGGGTTTTAATCCAGTATGTAAAATCAAATGATACTTGAATTCCTTCGATCTTTTAAATTCTTTAGAGCAAAATTTGCACTTGTACTTTTTTGTATCAGAATGTACAACCATATGGCTCCGCAAAACGTTTTTAGTTTTACATTTAACTCCACAGATTTGACAAATACAGCCGATACCGTCATGTGTGGCAGAATGTACCTTAAAATAAAAATTCGTTTAAATACCAAATTGTTTTAAACTAAAAAAAAAAATCGTGTAACGCATAAGTACATTCAAATCCTGCTTGTGCTTAAAAGCTTTATCGCAGTCTGGACATTTATATTTTCTTTCTTCTTTATGTAATTTTGAATGTTCTCTCAAGCACTCTCTGCTTTCAAAAGTTTTAGTACATGAATTGCATCTGAAAGATTTATTTTGTTTATGAACCCTGCGGAAATGATTATCTAGATATCTTTTAAGTTTAAATTCCTTGCTGCACTTTGGACATATAAATTTTTTTTCGGTTTCAGATAAATCGTGGTTAAAAGAATTTTCGTCGCCATTACTCAAAACATCGCACACTTCATTTTCGGCAGTTGTTGCTGTATCAGTATCGTCTACAAACGAATTGTTTTCAATTACAAACACCTCATTTGGGGAAACTTGGTATGTAGAACCCTCTGTTTTGGCAGTTTCATTTTCTATAATAGGTTTGATGTCCTCCTCTTCTTCATTTGACCGTTTATTTTCTTCGGAAACTTCATCGGTATCATATTGTTTTACCAAAAATTTCGGGGGAAAAATGCCATCGTTTTTTTCGAGAAAATCTAATTGTATACCCGATTGAGAAATTAGCCCAATTTTTTTTTGCAAAGATTCAAGACAAATATTTTGGTCACAACTATATTTTTCAAACTCCAGAAACATTTTTTGCACTTTTGTAACATGGTTATTAAACTGCACTATAAAACTAATTGTACTGTAACATGTTAAACATATTTTACCAGAATAGAATTTTGTTTCATCATGCATCTAAAAGTTTAATTTAAAATGGGTGGTGCTTTTATGAAATTTAAAGTATGTTTGTACGTACCACTAGTTGCAAATATTTAAGAACAGATGAACCTCCTGTTCCAACATCTTTTGAGCATAAGTCAATATTTAAGTCTGAATCATTTTGCTTCCCGCAAGAAATGCACCATTTTCGCCAACTAATTTTCTGCATTTCATAAATAATATTTATTTTTCAGTACCAAAATTTGTTTTTCTTTTTTCGCATTTGACACTTAACTTCAAATTTTTGTTTTAAAAAAATTCAGCTCTTCATTTAAGAAAATATTTAAACACGTCCATATAGTCAATTGTTTGTAAATAGCTGCGTCTGCACGATGATTCTTATATCAATGATTGATATACTGACGATTAATATCGTTTCCTCTTGCCGACACACAAATAATATATTTTTCGAAAAGTAGGATGAATCGTATGGTGAATTCTCGATTAATGATATCGATGTACTCGATTAATCATCGACTGAGGTCTTGCATGCTTTAGACTATTAGTGCGTTTATATGCGTCTTGAGGCCGACTTTAAGCGAATTTCGAGCTTGAATTGATTTGAAATTTTCAAGTCAAGTCCCTCTGATAAAATTATTAGCGTGAAAAGCAACCAATGCGGCGAGCGGCAACGGCGGACGATTTTGACAAAATCAATTGAATAATATGTTGCATATAATGCCACACATACAAGGAAAAGTCAATGTCAAAAAAAACCGACAGCGGCGATGAAATTCGCGGCGATAATATCACTTGATTCTAGACCGTTCCGTTTAAATATGTGTGTTCTATATGAATCTTGACATTTCGCCGCGGAAAATCGATCTTGTTCTGTTTCTATACGTATTCTGTTCTTGTTTATATACGTGGATTGAAAGATTGAAAATGACAAATCAATATATATAACGCCTTACACTTATCATCTAATATAAAACTCAAATCGATTTCAAATAATATTATTGTAATCTGTAATACGCAGACTATAATTTCAAGTCAGGTACTCGATCCGTCATATAAATGAATAACGCAATTGCCTATTTATTAGTATTAAAAATGAAAGCGATCATACTCCACAAATGTCAACAGCAAAAAAAGTCAAAACAAGACTTATGACAATGAATAAGCAAATTGTATAAAGTTTTTGCTGCACAGTTAATCATTTTAGTGCTATTTTAAGGTTATTAAACAGTTTTCTCTTTTATAAAAATATCGCATTGCCTAGCGCACTACTCAGACTGATACTAGCCTCAGAGTGGTTCTTTCAGATAAGGCTGTTTATTAAAATATATTATATAAATTTTAAAATGTGTTACTGCAAACTTTATAATTCAAATTTGAAAAATCATTAAATGAGAGAATAACTTACCTACCGTATTCGTTTATAAAATCAGCTCTTTCAGATCACAAAAAATATTGTATCTGAATTTCCGAATCAAAAAACTAAAAAGATTAGGTTTAGTATTTAATCGATAATTTAATAAATTTAATTTCTTGGTAAATTTAATTCAATGTTATTTTAACCTAAAAACTTTAATTTTTAACATTAAGTAATTGTTTTTTAATTAAACGCCATTTTCACATTGTGTGAAGATATTTTGTGAAATATGACCTTTAATACAAAAAGTTTATTTCCAAAAATTCCCGGTAGAGCAAGTATTTTTTAATTTAACAAAATTTATTTTCCCGATAGATAATTTCTTAAATGTCATTTTTCATCAAACTATCACTTACTTTACTTGTCATTCACCGGTAAAAATAAACCGAACCGAAAACGAATATTTTTAGTTATCCACGAAAGCAGACGAAATTGAAATTTTGTTCAATATTTTTCAAATACAGAAGTGAAGTAATTTTATTTATTTATGTCCATATGTTGACAAGAAAAAAAAAATAACTACAAACAAATATTAAAAATTATTAAAGTAAACTATTTTTAATTGATTTAATAACCATTTTTTTTTTTGTAATTTTGTCAAAATATAAACGTGTTGAATTCTAATTATTAAAGGAACAAAAAGAAGAACAAAAAAAAAGAGAAAAAAAGATAATACATACCTCAACATACACACCTATCTACATTTTAGAGAAAAAGTTAATTTTAGAAATTTTTTTGGTATAATAATACTGCAAAAAGCAAAAGCTAGGCCAAAAATAGAATTTTGTAATTAAAATCGAAACAGTTTTTTTTTCTCGTATAATGAATTTGATTTTGTGTTTAATAAGAAGTTTTCTTTTTATATTATGAAAACGGATAAAATATCTGTTGAATATAAAACAAAATATATACAAACATACATAATTTCATAAATATACAACAATACATGTAAAAAAAAAAAATACCAAAATCTAAAATATTTAAAAAAAAAAATAAAAAAGTGACAAAAAACAAATCATTTTAATATACTTAATTGATGAAATAAAATAAAATAAAAATTTATGAAGTGCATAATTTAAAAGACAAAAAAAAAAAACAAATTTTAAAATGCTTCTTAAATGCTCGAATTCAGACAGAAAGGTGTTGATATCATCTAAAGGTGGAGGATCAAGTAGTACAAGTAGTATTACTCGTGGAACAGGTATTTATAGCCTACATACATTTTTTATTATATATATATATATATATATATATATAGCTTAATATAGTAACTACATGCAATACAAACATGCAATTTAAATAACTACAAATTTTAGTACATAATAAAAATCACTTAAAAAAATGATAACGTCGATAATTCTATTAAAATTACCTGTTTTTTTTTCAATTTCTACCATATTGTAAGCAAATACACAAATTTTTGCAGACGTATTTAATCATAAATTATGTCTAATGTACAGCAGAGCCTTCTTAATTCTCCTTTAATAATTTTAAAAGAACGAAAAAAGTAACACGCAGTTAAAAATTATGTTTTCCTATTATCTGTATGGGGGTACCTACCTATCTATCTGCCTAGGTAACTGTGTATATATGTACATACAAAAGCTTTTATTTTATTAGAAATTTTTTGGAAAAGTGTTATTAATCTTGATTTCAAGAATCAAATTATAATTGAGTTACGTACCTACCTACCTACTTAAAATATTTGTCTATTTAATATTGAACATTAAATATTAAACATTTTATAACAAAATAAAAATAAGTATGTTTAATCGAAATTTCCTTATATAACTTATAAGACAAATATACATTATATACCCATTACGTACATACCCATGAATGTATGTAATTGTTATATTATTTGAGACCTTTGACAATTTTAGGTAGTGTTATTTATATTACATCAAAAATTTTAATTCCTTACATTAATTTTTTTTTCTTGATTATTTTATATTTAATATAAATTTTGATCGTAAGTTTTTTAAAATAACATAGGTATAGCACAGCATACATAATTATTATGTACCGACATACATAATTTATACATACATACTTACATTTAATTTGTTATATTTAATTTCATTTAACCTTGTATTATTTATTTACATTCAATAAGTATGGAAGTATATAAAAAAATTGAATTCATAGACATTTTTCCCATTATGACGATTTATTTATTTACTTATAAGTTTGTAAGTATCTTTATATCTACATAGTTATTTAGCTGTATCAGTATTTTAACGTGTTATACTTATATGTTTATGTATGTATATTAAATTTTTTGAGGTAGGTAAAGAAAATTTATCAATAAAAAAATAATAATACAATATAAGTATTTTAGTAAAACAAGAAAAATTAATTTATATACATATTATATATTTATTATAATAAAACTGTAAATACCTATATAATGTAGATCTATAACGTCTAAAATGAGCAAAACAATAAGCTTACCGATAAAAAATAATATAAAATGCAAATATGTATGTATAAAAAAAAGTTTGCATAACTTTTATATCAACAGGTGGAAAACAACCTGTTGATATCTATAGTTAATATAGTACCTTACATGTGTATATAAATACTTAGAAAACAATAGGTACACATAAGTTTAATGCTGATATACAAATAGGTATATTATGTATTAGGCATGATGTTTAAATGTAGAAAATATTTTATGTATACTATTAACTCCTGTAATTTGTAATTTTTTGAAATTTTTTATCAAGTCAGTGAAAAGGTACATAAGTATGTATGTATATTTTAGTTGATATATTGATAGAATTACAGAAATGATATGAAAAATATAAAAATTTTAGATCTGTACTTCTAAATAAAAATAATAAATAATCTTATTGCTACAACAATTTTCATATTGCTATGTGTTAAAATTCAATTCTGAGATTTTATTTATTTAAAATTTTTTCATTATTTTTATAAGTATGTATATCCAAAATCTGTTTATAACAATTCTGTGAAAAATTTCCAAAAACGGATTACTCCACTATTAATGAATTTAAATTACATATAGAACTTGAGGAAAACATACCAAATTTTTATTGGGCCAAAATCTTGTAGAACTCAAATATTTTTCAAAATCACATAAGTTATGGAAAACCAAAACCATATTTTAAAAACTTCCAATTGCTATAGAGAAAAAATACAATTTCAAGAATATAGATGGAATTTATAACAACTTTTACATTAAAATTTTCAATTTAATATATTTACTTAAATACTTGTGTATTGATTTCAAGTTTACTTATATATAGTTAACTGAAAATAACTTCGTCTCAATAGAATATTCTGGAGATTTTCATGTTCTGCATTTGGATTGCAATGGAGTTTTCAAATAAAATTCAAATCAAATACATGCCTTCAAAAAGTACGTTGTGTGAAGTTTTTTGCAAAAGTTTCATATTTTTTTTTAATTTCCCCATTGTAATTTTGATAATAATAAAATTTTTGGAAACGCAATTTTGAAACTATTGATTAGCTTCTGTAGCCCAAGGAAACTTATTGAATTTTGAAATTTCAAATTAAAACTTTAAAAATATCACCTTACATAACAATACTTTATTAGTTTATACTTATTAATCGAATTGATTCGTTTGAAAGTTTTTCTTGAGAGTTGGATTATCAGCATAAGATAATATTTGTCGTGTAGGATTGCAATCAATGTGATTACAGAAAAGATTCGAAGTAAATAGCAAGGTATTGGATGACTTCCGAATCATCTATTGACTCAAATTCATATGTCAAGTTGACACAAAAATATTAAAGTTATAAATTTTTCTTCTTCTTTTTTCTACTTTTTTTTCTGTTTTTCTGTTTATGTCCAGTTACTGAATAATGTCATGTGACTTATATCAGCTGAAATGTGAAAGTTAAAATTTCATACTGTTACTTGGAAAATCTATTCCCATATCAAGTTCTTGTTTTTATTTTTAACATAAAGTTATCTTAATTTTGAGATTATAATTTTTATGTACACAAATCAACCTTGAAAAGTATAATTTTTGCATCGAACTCCGATAAACATTTAATGCGCCATAATTTTAAAATGTTGCATAGTACTGAATTTTATTTAAAGAAATTATTTATTGTGATCCATGAAAAAATCATATTGATATAAGTAAGTTGTCAATATAAGTTCGTTCATGAACTAATTTTAACTTTAGATAAATATGTGGGTAACATTGGCAACTGTATTTTTCAACCTAAGTTGGAGTTTCAGAAAAAAAAAACTTTATTTTTTTTTTCTTTTGAATAAGATAAAATTTATTTAACTATAATTGAAATTGTAATATTCCCTTGTCCTTTATTTAGAATTTATGTGGAATTATTTTTTTATTTATAAATAATTAAAATAATTTTCAAAGGAAGAGAAAACTTTGCAGTTGTAAAATACTTTTATAATGACTCAAAATAGTAGTTCAAATTATACAAGTAAACACATGCATACATGTGACAAAAACATTTTCACATACATACATGGGTATATATACTTATTTGATAGAAGTAATTTTATTGCAATAATTAAAATGATTTAGTATATTTTCTTTTTACTTATTTAAGGGAAGCACGTAGCGTTTCATATATTTTTATGTAAAAATAATAATCAGTTCAAGTATATAAAAACAGTTCTACTTTATGCATGAATTTCAAAATAAGGTGACAATAATTTGTCCAAAAAAAAAATTTAAGAAGGGTCTAAAAAAGTTGCCAATAATATAAAAATGCGACATTGCGTCGAGAAAATGTAGGAGAGCTCTATAACTTTTGTTTGGGGAAATTTTTAAAAATCGGTTCTGCTAGTGTCCAAATCTGAAAGGAGGTTTTGAGCAATCGAAAATACGTTTTGAATATAGTTATACGATGTACTTATATAAATACGGGAAAAAGTTGTCTGTAAGATTTTCTAGAAACTTTTTTTGAAAACCAGCATCTAATGGTTCAAAGACCAAGAAGTAGGTCTTAGGAAATATTTAGAATAGGATCATTATTAGTCAAACATGTTAAAGTTTATATTGTGTTTATTGCAAATTTATTAGAAATAAAAGATATACTACTTATATAATTGCAGAACTTATTAAAAATACTTAATGTTGTTGAAAATGTTAAAAACTTGTTAGTTAATTGCACTGATTCCGAAAGCATTTTGTTTTTGTAGAGAAAAATTGATTTACACTATACAAATTGCAATTGGAATGAAAATTATTTTAAGTAAGTTACGAGCGCATAAACATAATTTCGAAAGACGTTGTATTCTGCGCTTGCGTATTCGATAAGTTTAATAATAAAAATTCGCAAAGAAAACAGGTATGTGAACATTTTATTCAGTATTTTGCTTTAAATATAATTACCATTTTAAAATACCTGTGTAAGCGCGTTTGAAGCCAGCTAAATGTGAACGGTATATACGCTCTTTTAAAACCATTTGAAATGATACTTACGCGAGCTATTAAAATACAAATCATTTTATATTTGGCAATATTAGCTTTCCCATTAAATTAAAGAGGGGGAGAAATATTTCACAGGGAATTTATATATTATGTAAGCACTTACATGATTTGAGAAAACACTTTATACATTGATCCTAGACTCTGTATGAAATTTGTTTTAACACAAATTTTTTTTTATCTTGGTTTTCTTTGTACTAGCTAATTATTTTTACAGAGACTCTAAATACCTGATATCAATTGTGCAGATATGCGTTATAACTGCAACACTACTTCGTTTGACTATAATTTAGACATCATATTGTACGTAATATGCTTTGCATTTATTTATATTGCATATAAAGTTCGTGACATTTTCGTTCTACTCGTATTATATAAATTCAAAGACCAAGAAGTAGGTCTTAGGAAATATTTAGAATAGGATCATTATTAGTCAAACATGTTAAAGTTTATATTGTGTTTATTGCAAATTTATTAGAAATAAAAGATATACTACTTATATAATTGCAAAACTTATTAAAAATACTTAATGTTGTTGAAAATGTTAAAAACTTGTTAGTTAATTGCACTTGCATTCATTCAAGTCGGCGTTGTTCATGTTAAATTTAAGCTTATTTTTTTTTTCTTTAACTTGTAAACAATGAATGGCATACTTATATTATTAAAATTATTAAATGTTGCAATTTTCTTATTGTAGTTTTTTTCTCAATAATAAATAACCTGTTTATTGACGTAAGTA